GGGAGGGGCAGCACGTGCCGGGCGGGGGGCGCGCACCGACGGCAGCCTCGTGCACGAGCTGGGCCCCTGCCGCTGCAGCCCGCGCGCGTCCCCGCCGCTCGGCACTCCCGTGGGGACCCGCGCACGGCCCGCGCACCCCCGGCAGCGCTGCCACGGCCCCACGTGTGTCCCGAGCCGTGGGGCCCTGCGGAGCCGCGGGACCAGCACGGATCCGAGGAGAGTGACCCAGCGCGCACGGGGCGCTGCCCGCCTCGGCAGGAGCGCGCGCACACCCCGTGCAACACCCTGTGCAACACCCCCCATGAAACAGCCCCCACACAGCACACCCTGCGCAACACCCCGTGCAACACCCTGTGCAACACCCCCCGTGCAACACCCCCCACACAGCACACCCTGTGCAACACCCCCCGTGCAACACCCCCCACGCAACACCCTGTGCAACACACCCCACACAGCACCCCCTGTGCAACACTCTACGCAACACACCTCATACAACACGCCCTATACTGCACACCCTGCGCTACACACCTTGTGCAACAACCTGCACAACACCCCGCACAACACACCCCTGCACAACACCCCGCACAACACACCCCTGCACAACACCCCGCACACAGGAACAGGCCTCCTCCCAGCCCCGGGGGGCTGCAGCCCTCAGAGCACCGTGGGGCAAAGCGGGGGCATCAACACCATGGGCTTCACGTTGTGTGGCAGGGACCAAATGGAGGGAGGCAGCCTGAACGCATCCTATAGCATCCATACGTTCCCACCCAGAAAGGAGGGGAGGGGATCAGCCAGAGCCCTTGTGGCCTCAGGAGCCCAAGGGACAGGCGAGGAGGAAGAGGAGGGTGCGGGGGTCCTGGATGGGGCCCTGGGGACACCCTGGCCACGGGTCCCGCCAGGCCCAGGCCCCGACCCCTGCTCAGCTCCGGCCGCATGCTGGCCAGGGGGCCGGGTCCTGCCCGAGCTCCTCGGCCTCGGGCGGGCCGCGTGACCGGCAGGGAGGGCTGGACGGGAACGGGCGCCGCTCCCCGCCGCCGCGCGCACAAAAGCAGCTTTTTCTGCGGGTTGGGCCCCYGGCATGGGCGTCCCGCAGGGCCGCGTCCAGGCGGGGACGTCGCAGGCCAGCCCGCCTGCCGCCGGCCGGGAAGGGCCTTGCAGGAGCCGTACTGGCAGCTCTGGCCCCGGGGCGGGCAGGGCCGCGGAGGAGGCGCCCGGTTCTGGGGGGAACGGGGACATCCCGGCTCCGGGAGGAGGCGCCGGCTCCGTCTTCCCGCTCCTCCGGGGAGGGCGTTTCCATGGCGACCGGCGGCATCGCGGCCCCGGCCCGGCCCGCCAGAGCGCGGCCCAGATGGCGGCGCGTCCCCCGCGCGGGCCCCGCGGCGCCTCGGCGGGGCGGGGGGCGCCCGGCGCCGCCCCCAGGAATTTCCGCCCCGCTCCACCCGCCGCCTCGCCCGGCTGCTGCCGCCCGGGGCCGAGCGGCGCCAGCAGCCGCGAGCGCCGAGCACGTCCCGCGCTCCCCGACGGCGGGCAGCAGGATGCGGGCCGGGCTGAGGCCGCGCTCCGCTGCGCCCTGGCAAAGCGCAGGGCTGGCAGCACAGCCCGGGCGCCCGCGGTGCCGGCGGCCACGCGAAGCGCAGCGGCTGCCCGGAGTAAAGGAGCGCCCTGCCCGGGGAGCAGCGGCCCCCGTGGAGGCCGGGCTGCGCGGCCGGGGGTTGCTCAGAGGCGCGCGGCAGGACAGGACACACCTCGGCGGAGCAACCCGCCCATTAACCATTAGCCCTAATTGCTATTTATTCTCCTGGCGCTGCGCCCTGCTCGGCGAGATCGGCTCCAGCTGCCACTGGCTCCTCTCTCCTGCCCCGGCCCCTTCGCGCTTCCAACAGCCAGGGACATCCCCAGCAGAGGCGGCCGAGCCCGGAGCGCGGACCTGGCAGCAGCGGGGCCCCCTGGRCCGCCACGGCCGCTCCGCCCCGCTCGCACCTCCCCGCCTTCCCCCCCGCGGAGGCGCCTGGCCCTTTAAGAGCAAAGGGCGTGGGGGGCGGGGCGGGGCGGCGCGCGGGCGC